CTATTTTCTCAGGCACACCGTTGTGTCGAAGAAGCCTCCACAGTGTTTTCCTATCCACGCTATCGAATGCTTTCTCGAAGTCGATGAAGTTGATGTAGAGTGGTGAGTTCCATTCAATTGATTGTTCCACAATAATCCGTAATGTAGCAATTTGGTCAGTACATGATCGATCCTTACGAAATCCGGCCTGTTGATGTCGAAGTTGAACGTCTACGAAGTCCTGTATTCTGTTTAACAATACCCTGTTGAAGACTTTGCCTGGTATTGAAAGAAGAGTGATGCCTGTATAGTTCTCACATTTGCTGAGATCGCCGTTTTTCGGTATTCTGATCAAGTATAATTCCAGTCTGACCGACAGTAGCCTCAAAGGGACTACAGGCGGAGTTATTTGAATTTCGTAAACGTAATAATTACTGAAATTATTGTCTGAAATACAGAACAATATGTTAGTTCATATAACATCTATAAAAACAAGCATTTGAATAACAGTCTTAATAGAGGATGAAACATAATCAAAAATAAAAATGTAAATGTCACTGAGTTACAAAGATGTGAATATCCGAATTGCACATCATTAAAGGTAATCAACTTTGTACTAATCTCCAAGAAAATAGATGCCACTACTCACGAAATCACACTCTTCTCTGTCATTTTATATGAGTCAAAATACTTTGCATCATGTCAAATTTTCGGCTCATTAATTAATAGTCGTTCATTTTGTTGGGGATGTTAGATCCCCAAAATTCGCTTGATAATGCCGTATTTCGGTTTTCACGTTCGCCAGCAGGGGCTGATCAAATGACCTTGAGATTTCAATTCCCACCAGGAAAATCAATGGCTGTGATTGGCTACAGTGTATTTTAGTATGCTATTTTCTTAACTGTCTCAAGGACGTTGTTATGTTGTATAAATAAACGAGAGTTGTATGCTTGATTGTACTGTGTTTGCTGGGTGTTTGTAGAATATACTTTCTACGCTTACAAAGCCTTTTCAATTCAGCCTCGGATTCAAGGTAGCCTCCTTGGAAGCTGGTAAAAGTCTCGTTCGCGTTTATCGACTAAGGTAAACTCGTAATAGCCTCAAGCATACTAAGTGACGAACTTATCAGTGGCGACGGTGCTTTGGGGAATATGGATCCTGCCAAACTTGAATTACTACTTGAGCAGCAGCTGAAACTGATGCAGATGTTGACAGACATGAAGATTTCCCCTTCCACACAGCCCAGCTCATCTAATGCAACCACAGCTCCATCGGTCGACGGCATCGCAAATAGCATAGCTGAATTTCATTATGATCCTGATGCAAATGTCACTTTTGACATGTGGTTCCGGCGTTATGAAGATTTATTTAAATTTGATTTCGCTAACCAAGATGATGCTTGGAAGGTTCGGCTGCTACTTCGAAAGTTGGGCGCAAGTTAGCTGGATAAGTACTGTAATTTGATCCTGCCTTTGAACCCACGAGATTGTTCGTTTTCTGAGACTGTTCAGACTTTAAGCCAACACTTTGGAGACAACTCGTCACTATTTAATACTCGTTATCGATGTTTGAAGCTTATTATGAACGAAGATGATGATTTTCTTACGCACGTGGGCATCGTCAACCGTGAATGCGAACGCTTTCGGTTGAAGTCTTTGTCGGAAGACCAGTTCAAAGCCCTTATACTCATCTGCAGCCTCCAGTCGAGTAAGTTCAGTGACATTAGAACAAGGCTACTAAGTCGGTTGGAGCAAGATCCAAAGCTTACGCTTAATGATATGGCTCATGAGTACCAACGTCTCACTAACCTACAACGAGACTCGACTATAGTTCAGAGTGGTAGTTCAAGCCGATCTGAAATTCATTTGGTACAGCAGCCACCTAGTCATTATAAGTCTGCCCGTGCTACACCCAGTTCACCCCGCTCCAATTCGGCCCAAAAACCCAAAATGAATCCACCTTCTGCTTGCTGGCACTGCGGTTCATGGCACTATGTACGGAACTGCCCATTTAGGCAGCATAGATGCAGGAAGTGTAAAGTCATCGGTCATAAAGATGGCTTTTGTCTACAGAAAAAGCCAAAGCGATCCAGAAGTGCTAAGAAGCCTGTTCCTAGATCCAGTACCAATGCCTTGAGCCTAATATCTTCCTGCCAAAGCTCATCACCAGGTAAGAGGAAATTTATTACTCTTAATATTAACGGTTATTTGTGTAGAATGCAAATAGATACTGCATCTGATGTCACTATCCTCTCACGCAAAAATTGGACCATACTGGGTAGCCCAAGCCTGCAGCACACAACACAAAAGCCTCGTACAGCATGTGGTAATTATCTTCGTCTGTTAGGACAATTGGAATGTAAAGTTGCTTTCCGAGATTCGTCGTTTACTGGGGTATGCTATATAACGCCAGCTGATCTAAATTTACTTGGTTAGATTGGTTCGACCAGCTAAAATTGGCTGATGTCCCGCTAAATACCATATGCAACCTGGTATCACAACGACATGACCCAGAAGACCACGCAGAATGTTACCTGACAACCGCAGTTCGCGCATTACCGGTGTCTGCAACAGACATACAAAATGCTTCTAGAAACGACCCCATCATCAAGATGACGATGAAATATGTCACTAACGGTTGGCCGTCGAAAAAGTTTGAAGGTGACATGAAGCAACTGTATCAGCGGCGGGAGTCACTATGCATCGTGAACGATTGTCTGATGTTTGGTGAAAGAGTAGTGGTGCCAGAATCCCTTCGTGCAAAAGAGCTGAGACAGTTCCATCTTGGTCATCCTGGGATTAAACGAATGAAGTCCATAGCCAGGAGTTATGCATACTGGCCTCACATGGATCAACATGTCACAGCGTTGGTTGAAAAATGCATGCGGTGTCAGCAGGCGGCAAAGATGAATGCCAAAATTCCGCCGGTTTCATGGCCCAAACCTGAGCATCCTTGGTCCAGGATACATGTCGACTTCGCTGGCCCAATAAATGGAACTATGTATTCAATTGTCGTCGACGCCTTTTCTAAATGGCCGGAAATCAGCCCCGTTATGCCGCCCACTACAACTAAGACTATACAGCTCCTAACTGAAATTTTCTCACGAAATGGCATACCAGATGTGATCGTATCCGACAATGGCTCTCAATTCACCTCTTCCCAATTCCAGAATTTCTGTCAACGGCTAGCCATTAAACACTTACGCTCGCCACCATACCACCCGCAATCGAATGGGCAGGCGGAAAGGTTTGTGGATACGTTTAAAAGAGCACTGCTCAAGTCAAAAGGGGAGGGGACGCCAGCCGAAACGTTACAAAATTTCTTGTACGTCTATCGGACAACACCAAATGAATTGTTACCGGAGCAAAAGTCCCCAGCTGAAATCCTGATGGGAAGAAGATTGAAAACGATTCACAGCCTGATGCATCCGACCAATGCACCCTCATCAGTAGAGACAAAGCAGCAAAGACAATCCGCTTACGAGGTGGGATGCCCTGTGTTTGCCCGCGACTACAGAACGAACCATGGTCCTTGGGTAGAAGCGAGAGTGGTCAGAAGGGTTGGTCGAGTTATGTACGAAGTAGAGGTAGGAGGTGATAAATGGTCACGTCATCGCAATCAGATACGCAGACGGCTAGCCCCAGATCGCCCATCAAGAGCAGAAAGCCTTCCCCTTGACATCTTGCTTGATACCTTCAGCCTACGAGAGCCCCGCCACGAGAAGAAACTCAGCAGCAAGCTGTTCTTCGTTCCCGAAAGTATCCCCTCAGACAGCGGCGAACAATAGTCAAGATGCAAGTCAACCACAGGAGAACACGCTATTAAAAAGGGGAGGAGTGTTGGGGATGTTAGATCCCCAAAATTCGCTTGATAATGCCGTATTTCGGTTTTCACGTTCGCCAGCAGGGGCTGATCAAATGACCTTGAGATTTCAATTCCCACCAGGAAAATCAATGGCTGTGATTGGCTACAGTGTATTTTAGTATGCTATTTTCTTAACTGTCTCAAGGACGTTGTTATGTTGTATAAATAAACGAGAGTTGTATGCTTGATTGTACTGTGTTTGCTGGGTGTTTGTAGAATATACTTTCTACGCTTACAAAGCCTTTTCAATTCAGCCTCGGATTCAAGGTAGCCTCCTTGGAAGCTGGTAAAAGTCTCGTTCGCGTTTATCGACTAAGGTAAACTCGTAATAGCCTCAAGCATACTAAGTGACGAACTTATCACATTTGTTCATCTATTCATACAGTATCAGCGATCATACGGGTCACATTTCTTACTGTCAAGATTTGTTGAAAACATTCCTCACTACCAGATGTGATTGAGTATTCTGTCAGTTGTACGTCAATCTCAGTTTACATTCATTGATGTCATTTCACACTCTGAATGGTTATAACTTATACAGATACTGATGTTCATAGGTAGTTAGTCCTTCAATATGTCGCTGTTTATCTTAAGTGTATGGCCCGTTCTGATCTAACTTCAAGGGATATAACGTTCAATTAAGGTTCTTAAAGAATACTCCTCTTGTTTTAGTCCCAGAAATCCTTTTTCATGCCACTGAGTATTCATTCGATATGAAGAACGGATCAAAATATTCATTATCTTATTGATATCACTAGTTTTTTTTTAAATTATGAGAATTTCATCTGTGTAGACTGCCTGGAAAAGTGAAAGTGGTCAACTATTGATCAGAGAATATTATTATTTACATTAAAAACGAAACATTCTGCCAAGTAAACTACATTTAAATATCGTTCCATTGTTGATATTCAACTTATAATTCCTGTATCACAAAATGTATGTGAAATACTAATCGAACAACATATTTCGCCGATTTTAAAATGGTTTCAACACACTGCATTTGCGATAATCTCAGTGACTGAAATTCAACAATGTAATCAAGATCTAAACAATCTTCATAGTGAGTAAATATGAGTCAAACGATCTGAAAAACATGAAAAGTTGTTGGAATACTGAAGCCAACAAGTGTTTCATTGTGAGTGTATCCTGATTTTAATATGAACCGAATGTTTTATCCATTTCTCGAAAATTTGTTGAAAGTACATGTAAAAGCTATTGAGATCATCGAGGTGTATGTGGAACGGAACAAGTCAAAGTGTTATGAAATGAAACGACAAATAAATTATGTTCGAAACAACTATGAACAACGCGAACAAGCCAGGCAACAATCAGATACGTCTACTTCTTATTTAGCAGTTGGTAAGATGTGGCTAGCTGTATTCCTACTTTTCGGTTGCAGCTTCCCTGATCATTCTGCATATAAACTGACACCGCAGATTATTTGACTCTTTACACATCCATGTCTTACTTCATAGTTGAGTGCTTGTACTGATTCTGATCACAACTATTTATCCATTTAAGGTTCCTCACTCTGAATACACTTTGAAAGGAAAGCGAACTGGTATGCTTTTCTCTGAAGTAATAAGATCAATCAAATTTTCGAATTTAGTTATTGTCCAAGTAATACTTAGACATAAACGACTTGTAATCTTAACATACAAATCATTGTCTATTTGAAAAATTCTTAGAAATCTCTCCAGAATTCACGAAAAGCTAAACAAAGATATATAGCCGAGAATAATGGAATTATAGAAATAACTTGTTTGCGTTACTTAGTACTACAAATTGACACTGAATTCAAGCAACTGTCATTACGAGAATCTTCTAACGGCGGGTTCAAATATTGTTACAATGAAAAGTGATGGATTTGATACAGTCATTGTAAAATCAAAGTGCACAGCACGATACCGGAAGGAAGTAATGTTCCAGTGTCTTCGACATCAACAAATCAGCTACAGACTATCATAACTCTATCCTGATGTGCCTCTAGCTTGCAGTGAAACTCTGTAACTATCCCGGTGTTTGGACCGAGCAGATTGATAGAAGTTCACTCTTACAGATACAGAAATTTACCTGTAACGGATAACAGTCAGAAAAACAAATAATTTAAGACGACGGATTGTTTTAATAAGCGGTACAATATAGAAGAACTTCAATGAACTCTGTAATACAGCAACTGAGAAGAAGCAGTAGATGGGCTCGAAGAAATAGGTGGTAAATCAATTAAATATTGAGGGCTGAAAAGTTGAATTTGAAGAATGTACAAAGTTTGCAAGAAATTGACCTGGCCTGTTAAATGAGTCATGGAAAGCTACTTCGAAAGTCAGGCTTCCCAAATAATAAGCGCATGGGTTAGTTTCATATATTACCTTGACAAACCATGTTGTGCAGTCTATTTTAATTGAAGACATTACCATCAGATAAGATGTGTAGGAAAGTAATAACCCCGTTTGCCAGATCCACATAGAACATGGTTTGCATGATTTTAGAATTGTGTGTTATTTGTAAATTGTAGTGGGTGGATTGGTATATGAATAGACCGTGTGAATTGTTGATCAGTCGACGGCACATAGAATCCTTTACAGAGTATGAACACGTACATAAAATAAGATTGCTGATTAGTCATCCGTGAAAGTACAAAATTATTAATCGGATTAAAATGATACGTTTAGCAGTCACACGATAGTCTTATGTATTTCACCCACTCGCTTTACTGAATGCAGAGTATATAAATGGTGTAACACAGAGGATAAAGCATCGTCCATACAACGATATGAAACTATCTGGAGCAAACTGCTTGGCAATCTTCTGCCTCATGCAACTTCTAGTTGCATTTTCAACCTGTAAGTTGATAAGATATTATAATTAGAACGAACTGGTAATAATCATTACTCTATTCTATATTTTTTACCTTGAAAATTTTGAAGCAATGAAGCATTTGTACACATAATCACTAACCAAATCACAAACAGAGACGACGGAACGACCATAGTCTCCATAGAGGATTAGTTGAGACATGAAGTCTAGACTACTTATGAGAACACCGACTGTCTAGTAATCGTTGTCATTTGTAATTTCAATATGACAATCATTTTTCATGGTAGTTGGTGATGTTAAATGGTCATATCTGTCGATGATACTTATTTAAAATATTGAAAATTTTCATACAGTTAATTAGAATAACATATATGAGCTAATACTATTGCTTACGATTAGGTCCTCGACAGGCTTTACTCCAACGCTCAGTAATATGTAAAAATATGAAAATCTTATAACAATCAAGACAGTGATAACAGTGAAATAGACTACAAAAATAAATGTAGAATGTAAAACGAAAATATTAATTGAGTGATGACAGGTTTACTAGTTGTGATCAGAACAGTAATGATTGAATCAATGTTTATTAATAAAAAGGAGGTTGGAAAATCACTGATAGAGTGTAATAAGGAATGTTCATTGAGAGCAACTTATTGTATACCTACTTCAGGATTCCCATCTGTAGACAAGTAACAAATAAGCTTCTTCGAAATCTTTCTGCATATACAGAAATGAAGAAACAAGTAATTCAGTCAGTATTGTGAAATAATAATAATTTCATTGTGAATTTATCAACAAAAACAACACTGTAGAACGACATGACAACAATTAGTAGATGGACTAAAAATACAATTAACAAAAGGATTGGATTCAGAAGATAATACCATAAAATTTCTGTCATTTTTGGTGGGTAGAGCTTGCAATTTTATCTTGAATCATTAAGTATAAGGATTTTTCGTTTTAAGTTAAACTATTAGACATTTTTTGATTTAGTAAATGAGATTCTGTCTCCGGCAGTTGCTCGATTATAATATAATATAATCAATAACATTCACACTTGTCCTTCAAATAGATGCCAGTAGCAGTAAGCTTATTATTTCACCAATCATTTGCATCGATTTTTTAATTGATATCCAATTTGATCGACTATGTTAACATAAATTTAATTTATAAACAATTTAATTAGTTCATAGATTGATTATTTGTGTATCAAACAATGCACAATATTTAGCTGCATCATAATGAGAAAGTCTAAACAGGACCATTTTCGCCCCCAAGAGAGAAATCTTCATTTTCCATACATTATCGCAACGTTTGAAAACCTACGTATTTCACAGTGTCTCATAATTGA